GTTACGAGTCAAAGCTCGGATTTATATTTGTTTGCCCTTTTAGCCCGGCCGTTGATTTATGGTCCGGTCGGGGGTGATTTTAAAACTGACCCTTTCCAAAAAAACAAACGTTCGCAATCTTGAGCCATTCATTTTCATTAGCACGTCACCGTATACGCACGCACCCCAAATTCCTCTATGACCGCCCCCTGATGGGGGTGGGTGTACGGTCGTCGGTCGGACCGCAATCACTTACTGTCGTCGTTAAGAGTTGCCGCCCAATTGGTATCTACACGGTGACAAAAGATACGTTTGTTGCAAGCGATAAGTTTATAGGTGATTCATTGGTAAGTGCGCATGCACTACCTGGGTATATACAGTTATTACGAGTTATTATCCCTTAATTACCGACATGCAAGGGTTTGATCAATTTTTTTTGGGTTATTACTTAGAGATCACGCGTAAAATTTTAATATTTTATCATCAAAATTCTGAAAATCTGTTTTAATATATGGAAATTAAATCTAATATTAAAATTGCGGTATCGTATTGTTCTTTGTAAATGTGAAGCTTAGCGTGATAATATCGCAACTCGCTTCTGGTTGGATTCCTAGAGTTGTTATTTAATATTAAATCATATTTTTCTTTTTAAACGGCGTCTATTAATTGATAACTTTGTTGTGAAACACTGAAACAGTTTTATAAAAATGACAAAATTTTATGATTAATATTAAAGGTGTTGTTGAAAATGACCAATTTTATCTTTGTCCGTTCTAAACCTCTTAGGTAAAATACGGACTGCTCTTTGAAGAAACATCAACCCATTATTGGATTGCTCTCACGATACAAGTAAATGTATTGTGTTTATGTTAAAATCATACAACTCCAGCGGCAAATGAATATGATATTAAAAACTTAAGAATTATACCGTTTACGTATGAAAATGGCGTCTAATGCAAATATCGAACTTGATCACGGAAAGTCCAAAGTTACAATGGCAAAATATCGAGGAGGATTGTTTAAAAATAAGACCTGTACCACTTTTATCTACTTGTGAAAACAGTCTGATATGTCAGAGCGACATTGACGAGGTAAACACTTTTACTTAAAATTTTGTTATCGATTCTCTTTCGCATTTAGATTTGTATCCGAAAATAATTCGGCAGTGTAGGATGTAAATAAAAATCTTTAGAAAAAACGGTTTTGTAGCAAAATAGATCATTTGAGATAACATTCCAGTTTACTCTGTGAACATTTGTTATATTTTTTAGGTAGGTTATATTTTTTGGGTAGTTTTGGTTGGGATTGGAATTTCCTTACCTTCCCTTTTACGCTAGTAAATACTTTTGTAATTTTCACATCAAGGGCTCTGTTTTGGCTTTAATATGCATAAAAGTTGTGACCGAATGCAAAATAAAAAATATCAATATAAAATTTTGTAATAACAGTTAACTTTATTTCCAACAGGTTACATGACCCAATTACATTAAATACTAAATATAAATCATCCAATATATATATACAAGGGGACGTAGAAACTAATCTTAAATCTACTAATCTTATAACTAAAAAAAAAAGAAGGAAATAATGAGGAAGAAAAGAATAAGACTTTTCGGTACGGATAACCCGACGCCAATCGAAGTTGCCGAAATATAGCCTGTAGACCATCATCATATAAATCGCAGTACGACGATAGCTTGTTGAAGGTAGCAGACATATTGTAAATAGGGTTTCGAAAGTGGATATTGGACCTGGGTAACTGCGGTAAGAAAGTTGATTGATGTCTCCCTTCCAGCCGCAGCACATGAAAGCGTAATTGTTCCGGAACAAACGGACAATCGACTCCGTAATGGACTAATTTATAGAGAAATGAAACAGATTGCAAGTCTCTGCGCAAGCTCGGAGGCAGTATAGCGAACCTTCTTAGCAGAAGATTTAGTCAACGACGCGTTGTGTGCGATGTAGCACCATCCTGCTGGAACCACAGATGTTCTTCTCTTTGATCGTAGTTCAACTCGTTCACTTTTGGGCGCAGGAAATTGTTAACCATATCAAAATATCGATCTCCGTTGACTGTTATCGTTATTCCATCTTCTTCGAAAAAGTAAGGACCCCCCCACACGCCGAACTCCGAGATTGCACATCAGACGGTGACTTTTGGACTGTGAAGAGGCCGCTCATGAAGTTCCTGTGGACTATTTGCTAGACATGAATACAGCGCCTCTGGGAATGTTTTGAAGAATATCCCGGCATAAATTTGTACGGGTTTCAAAATCTATTGCGCTTAATTCCTGCATACTTTTGCCTGCCTAACGCGAGTGCGTACACAGTGTTGCCGGTTTTACAAACCGAACAACCACTATTTGAAATCCTGCCTACCTTTTTGCCGTACCCTGTATAAAACATATAATAAAGAGTTACTATTTCATTTTTTATTTAGTGAATTTAATTTTAAGGCTGGCTTTTTTATATTTTTAGTATTTGTTCAACGATATGGTCATGAGAGCATTTTTTTAGAAAATCTTTGCTTAAGTAAGTCTATGGGTGCGCCGCTGCAATTCAAACAAAACAAAAAAGAGGTAAATTTAAATTATATAACGTCAGGAATTAATGCGCTACATAAATAAATTATCCCTCTCGTTTAAATTAAAATGCACATTAAACAGTATCGTGTTTGATATTCGTTTTTGCCTGCCACACAAACGCATTACCGGAAATTGCCGGCGGTGCAGAATCCGATTTTTAATAAACCTAAAATTTATACCCATAAATCTAATATGCAATTTCCAAAATGCATGAACGATGTATTACGCGATCCGAATAAAATAATCTTACGCATTAAAAACGCGAATCTGTTTTGGCTCGTCGTTTTTTTATACGTGGCAGCGCGACGTGTCGATATATTGGCCTTCCGAAATTGATTCGGAATTGGTTAGCCGGAACCACATTAAATATAATATAGTCCCGACCGGATTCAATTTCGTTATTAAACCCGCGAAATCCCGAAATAGTGAATACCAAAGTCGCGGCTTTATCGGAATTGATAATTGTATCCCGTTGCCGGGAAAATAGAAAATACCCACGGATTAAAAGATACGTCGAAATATGGTTCCCGGTTGGTATTTGGTGAAAATTACGCCTCCACATCGATATGTATACGATCGTTGAAGTTCCATGTTGCAGATCGCAGACATTCTAATACAGAATGAATGAATATGCAAATTAAATTATATTACTGCTGTCAGTCTTGGTCCTTGATTTAAAAAACCATCATATTAAGAAGAATTTCTTATTAAAATTAAGATTATGTAAAGATATAGGCAATGTCCTTTGCAAATAAATTTAATAACGAAAATCCTCTATCATAAAACTAAAATTCCATGTACTTACCTGTAAAAGCAAATGGCCCTGTAGAAGTATTTAAAGCAAAAGTATTGCATACGAAATCCCAATGCGCATTAGGACGGTGAAGGCATGTTAACATTGCTACCTATTGTTTTCCTAACATTCTGACCAAGAATTTTGGTGGCTTACGCAGACTCCATTATTTTATCATATCTTGGTGGGTTTATGCACGCAATTAAAAATAAAAACGAAATTTAAAGTAAAAATACCATTTTGGTAATGTCATCTATACAGTGTATTACTTTACTGACCTCATATTATGAATGTGGACCAAACCATGATGTCGAATCGACATTTTGTTCAGTCAAAATCGGATAAAAAAACCTTCGGACCAACAGAAGAATGCATCAAATAATCCAACGTTGCCAAATAATCGCAATAAGTTGATTTCGATAAATATCCTGCAACAGTACCGTTTATGTGTGTTGTTATGACTCGGGTTATGTTTTGTTTACAACCTGAGTTGATTCAAATTAATCACTAACAATGAGCAAAAATATTGGGATACGGATACAGTTTGCGTCGGCTTAAATTGGTTTTTCTACTCCCGTCTTTAAAATGCCTAATTACACTGATCTAGCGTGCGCACTTTACCACGTCAGTTTCGGTTCTCACGGAGCAATCGGATGTTTTTGGAGATTTTACCGCACGCTTTGAACTTTAACGTTTGTGTAATTCGTGTAATTTTGCAAAAATATACACAAAAACTTATACACATAAAAATGTTATGCAATATATCAGACAATTTAACATGAACTTTAGTGGTTTTTAAAGTTTTTATCTTAGTATCTTGCCAAGATCAATTGTACGAATTGAAGGTTAGGGGACCTGCTTATCTTAAAAATTTAACCCTCTAGTAAATATTTTGTTTGAATGGTACGAAATTTAGTAATCCGACAATCTGTTATTATTTGTAAATTGTTAAATTGTGATTTTTTTGTGATGGTCGTTGAAAAAGTATAGTATGCAACACGTTTGGTAAACTCTTTATCTCACTCGTTTATTAAGCACTCGCTCCGCTGCTCTCCGCTCGCGTCAAATAAACTGGTGAGTCACAGCCGTTCACCGCACTTGTTGCATAATATGCTATTAACGAATAAAACGAAAACTGAAAAGGTTTTCAGATGAAAATAAAAGTAAAAGTTGAAAATTGGTTATCATTTTCATTTGTTATTTTGATTTATGCTCTATAAACGCCGTCATAGGGTCACATGACGTGAAGTTCTACTTTTATTTTTATTTTAACCTTTATGTACTTATTGCATAAACCCAAATATACAATAAATATCTTTTTTGCCGGTCGCATATCGTCGTATTATGAAAATGAAGTTATTGTTATTGTATCAAAATTGTCAAAATAGTGCTGTACGCTGCTGCACTTCAATTACAACGAAAAGGAGAATCAAATGTTTAAAATTCACGCGTTTTATGAAAAAAGCTAAGATTTAAAATTGCAAATGAAAATTCGCAGACAGTTTTTTGACGTTTTATAGTGTGCTTCCTCTTCTATCATAAAAAATAAATATTTTGCGGTCAGTTATTCCTGGATGCGCATATTAAATCAAGTTTCACAAACCTTTCCATTTAGTTCATGTATTTTTTATCTTTTGCTTTAGTCGTGTACGCTGCTCCATCTATCGAGGCCTGCCCGAACGACAGCATTTTGTCGAACGACGAGTGCGTCTGTAATGCAGACGCCTGTCAAAAACCACCCTGTCTCGGCGAACTAGTTGTAGCCCGGAACGGGAGCCTCTCTCCGGGATCCTGCTGCCCCGTCTATTCCTGCGAGGGTAAGTTTGGCGCGATGCCGCCAGAGTGCGGCAAGATCCTACAATGTCTGACCCACGTTGAGCGTGTGGAGACCTAACAAAACGAACAAGGTGTTAATCTCTTAGTAGTGTCGCAAAAATAATTTTATATTTTGAGAAATCAAATAACATCTAGATAAAATTTAATATTCGCTTCCGCGCTTGAGTCAAAAACACCACTTTTAGTCAGAAAATACTTAAGCTTGTGAATCTTGATTTTACAGGGAAACATAGGTTTACAACAAAATATATTGTAAACCTCTTAATTTTTGAGCTACAGTGTGTCGAAGTTTTGGAAAAAAATAACTTATTATGACAATTTTCTTATTACTCTAGACTGTTTACCTATTGATCATTAGATATTTTTGAAAATTTTTGGTCATACTGTTTATTACTTTCGCACAATGCTCCTTTTTTACTTGAAGTTTACTCAGACTTCTTTTTAATGATTTGTTGAAATTTGGGAGGCACCTACTATGAGTAATAACATTTAAATTTAATTAATTTAAATTAGCAAAAAATTAATTTACTAATTCACTAGTGGTGTCCTCGTAAGCATATAATTTTTTTTCCTAAATATAATAACGATGAAAACTGATAGATTCTGGGTGGTGTAGATTAAGTAGATATTTATTTAAATGTGGACGGTAATTAGAAATACATTCTAAAGATCATGGACAATGGCGTTAGTATAATTCCTACATACATATCCTACATATTAACTATAGATTTTCATTCCAAATTATGGAGTGCCCCTTTTTTAATGACACTTCTGGGAATTTCATAAGATCGTGCCTACTAGATTGATTTCTGCGAAAAAAGGGGTTCACGAAAATTGACATGGAACAACATACTTTTGTTTATCTACCTTAAAAATGAATGTTCACTCCATCTAGGTTGTAAAAACGACACCCTCATCAACGGAAAATGTCCCTGCGTACCAAACGCTGTGCTTAACGACAAGGGCGAATGCGAGTGTATCGACAAGGAGCAACATATCGTCGAAGGACAGTGCCTATGCAACCCCAGACAGTGCGAGCTGCCTCAAATTTGTGACCGAAAATCTGTACTCGTAACACTCGAAGAGGGCTGCTGCAGAAAGACCACGTAAGTCAGCCCAGGGTACCCCTGTCATCCTCCTTTACGAAGACTGTGCTAAACTGTCGATTTCATCCATTTTTTAACATAATTTGGACACCACTAGGGATAGGCGAAAGATTCAACAGATTCAAAGGTTATATTGTGACACTCTCCATAGCTATAGAGATTTATCTAGGATCATCTGTTGCTTGTTGCCCACAACTTGGTTACGCCCAGCACTCTTGATAGGCCTATCTCATTGGCATAGCACGTGTGTGGCTGTTTCCTCCTTTTCGTGGCAGAATCTGCATTCAGTGATTTCTTAAGCTCTCATTAGGCTCAGATGCCTCTTAAGGCGTCAGTGGCCCGTTAGTAGAGCTGCCATTATTCTTACGGCCTTTCTTAGCAGGTCTGCTGTAAATTGGTAGGGTATTGAAATTTCACATGTGTGCAAGCAAGGAGGTGTGCACAAAGTATGAAGTCACAGGCAGTATTCAACTTATATTTGACTATATTTGAACTCTTGTACAAGGTGACAAGGTAAAAATGTATTAAAGTTGCCTAGAGAAGACAGTGCAACATATTCTAATTTTCAATATGGTTACCAAAGATCGTAACCTCCGTCCAATTTGTTAAAAGTTGTATCATAACTAAATCTTCTTTGTTCGATATTTTAGGCTGGAAATAAGATATCGACATACTGTTTTTACTCGCTTATTTAGGTATCATTTAACTAGATTTTCACAATTCTTGTTATTATTATCAAGAGCAAATTAGACATTTTCCTCCCACAGGTGTATCCCGTGTCCAGAAGACAGCGAGTCGACCAACCTGGAAAGTGATGACCTGGAAGATCATTGCGTGTGTTTGCCGTGCGCACCTCCTGAGTGCGGCTTTAATAAAACCGTGGTCATTAAGAAGCGTCGCACCGGCTTCCCGGGAAACTGTTGCGATCTGTACGAATGCAAACCGATGGAGGCTAAAGAGAAGGACTGTACGGTGGACGACATCATCTACGCGGACGGCGACGAGTGGTCCACCAGCTACAACCAGAAGTGCGTGTGCCAGAACGGTCTTTCGTTGTGCAGCAAAAAAGTCGAGGTAGAGGAGGTGGTTGCCTTCAGTTGTTTGAGGGAAGGTAACCTGTACAAACACGGCCAGTCGTGGATACTCGACGACGGCTGCACCAACTGCACGTGCCTTAACGGCGAGGAAAAATGCATCTCGCACTATTGCGATTTCAAAGAGCGGCAGATCCCGGAAAACGCCACCGTCGGCTCAAGCGGTGCATGTTTCCAGGAGAACACCATGTACGACCATCAGCAGACCTGGACCGCTGCGGACGGGTGTACTGTTTGCACGTGCCTCGACGGCGAGGAGCAGTGCGATTCGATCAAATGTGTTGACAAGGACGCGTGTCAGTCGATGGCAGGGTGCGACAAGAATTGCCCGAACGGGTTCAGGACGAACAGGAAGGGCTGCAGGATGTGCAAATGCAACCCGGCCAAAGTCAGCCCAGAGATATTGAGCAAGTACAACATAACGGTTGACGATTTGATTAAAATTCTCGAGGATTATAAGCATAGCAAAACGACTACGACAACTTCGACTACGACCACTACTACGATCGCGCCTAGTGTCGCGTTGGTTCCTAGGGTTCGCCACGCGGAATCTACGACCACGGAACCATCGATCACTCCGGCGAAAAACGAACAAGGTAGGTCATACGTTCATGATGGTTCTACGTCTATAATTCGATGGAAAAAAATCAAAACATTTTGAATAACAAAGTTAAGTTCATCAGTAATCTTCAAAGGCTCCGAGGTGCATTTGGTATGAAATACAGGAAGGGTGTTATTTAAATATGCGCATAAAAAATATTATTTTCCCTGCTTAGATCAATTACATAAATTTTGGAGGAAATGGACTAAAAATTTTTTTCAGTTTTAAGTACCCCACAAACATAATATATCAATTTTTCAATTATTTAAAAACTCTAGAAACATTAACTTTTCAAAGAAACTTCCACAGACTACTGTAATACTATTTACAAAGCTTTCGGATTTCTAATGCGTCGGTTGTTTATAAATCGAACTTGCTGACGTTTCGCCAATCATCCTGTTGTCTTCTACAGAGCTTAACTGAAACGTTCTTATTCAGTAATATGAATGCATCGGGATTTTTGAATCATTACAATACCGAGGGAAATAAAGCATTACAAAGCTCAAAATAGAGGCAAGGCATTTTGGGATATTGTTATATTGTTAATATTCAACGAAGTTGAGTTTTGAAAAAAAAAAGTTTTTTGTAGTATTCTTAAAAAGAGAAATGTATATGCAACTCAAATACAAACCACTAAGTCCACTAAAACTGACTCTGTTCGTTTACCAAATCACTACCTTTTGCCCTCATTAAATCAACAAAAACACGATTTACTTAACAGATAGGTCAGGCAATAAAGTTTGCCATGATACCGTGTTTCCAAATCTTGCCACCGTCTGTTCAAACATGAAATTCGGATTCAGCACTCTACCGACAAAGGCTTCATGATTAATTTTTAGCAAGAGCATTCCTAATTTTATAAAATCAAACCCCTAAAAATAGTCTAATCCATACCTAAGCAACAAATTTACAAACGAACTGGGCAATTAGCAAAACCCAATTAGGTTAATGAAATCAAAGCAAAAACATTCATCAATGCACGGTTTCATTATTTAATCACTCCACAATGGTAGTATTGAACTCCGGATCTACACCACTAAACGGCGCCACCTCCTTAAACTCTCGTTTTGTTACTATTTTATAAAAGAATGCACGAACTTTATTTGTGATGAGCCGTCCGTCTTTACATAAAACTTGCTGCGTTTTTTTTTTATCAGACAGATGTATCGAATAATACATCCTCTTTATTATTTGGTCGTAATTTTCTTAAATATTACTACACTAGCTACGAAGAATGAACTTCCAGTTCCTGTAGTCAATAGTTTCAGTACTTTTTATCTCCTGAAAAACACTAGATTCTTAGCAATTGTGTTTTTCTATCTACAAATCTTTTAGGTTCCTCCTGCATCGGTTATTGATCAATCGAACTTGCCGACGTTTCACCCATAATCCTGTTAGCTTCTTCAGAGCTTAACTGAAACCGAATTGAATTGATCATATCTCTCGGAATAATAAAAGCGACAATTTATTTCAGGCTGGCTGAATTATATGGTGATAGGCCTAGCGTTGACATCGATCTTGATCCTGCTGCTGCTGGTCCGCTGGTACTGTACCAGCAAGCGGAAAAACAGCATGGACGTTACCCCGTCGAGAGGCAGCTACCGCAACGTCAGCCCTATACCGGACAACAACAACTCCATCAAGGAGAAGTACCCAATGTGAGACGACGATGAAACATTTCCTTTAATTTTGTGATATTTGCGTTGGCGTTCTGATTTATTGGACATACAGGGTGCGCGTTTCTGAATGGCTTGACGGACGTCGCGATGCCTTTACCGCCCTAGCCATATTGTTACGTTTAGTAAGAGAATGTTAATTAGTGTTAGGCTTGTGTACATATTCAGTTATTTATTTTTGATATGTTGTTTTTTTTGTCGCCTCGGTCGAGGTGGCGGCTAGTTAAACATTGAGCTGACTCTAAACGATCCTATTGGTAGACACAATGTCATGAATTTTGTGCACGCGCTTCGCTAAGCAACAAAAAATTGATAAAAACATGACATTAGTTAAAAAAAAAATCGGAAAAACTAAACTATTCGATCTCAAAATTTTCTGCATAGTATTACGGGGAAAATGTTTTGGTTGGGTAAAGAGGCAGTGCGGGGCGTGGCCAACACGCTCCGCATCGCCGACGCTGCGGCGACGTGTATATTTATTTTAGTTTAACGTTTTTAAGTTGCCTAATTGTGATAAGTATTTTCTCGTAGGTTTAAATATATTTATAGGGGACAAATTAGCTAGCTTGATCGCCATTTAACGAACCGTAAGGTGACAGTTTTTTAATCTTGATGTCTGTGATAAGGCATTTGGAGCAACGATTAAATGGGTACTTACGGCGCTTTCCGTTGATATATAGCGTTAAGAGATTTGTATATACCTATTTAGGTAGCTGTGTAAAGATTAACAATTGTTCCTATCATTGAGACTTTTCGCTGTAATAAATTCAAAATTTTGCCAAACACCGTCGTGCTTTTTCAGCCTTGTATTCAGTATTTAACAGTATTCCTTCAGCCTCCCGTTCGTACTATTATTTATAATAAACTGCAAGCACTCTGTAAAACATTATCATACTGTATAAGGTATACGCTATGTAGGCACATGTAGTAGATGTAAATAGATATGTTAGTTCAGCACTTATTTATAAAAACCAGTTTAGACCAATAAAATAGAGTTAGATCGCGTTGTTTTTGTTTTCCAGTTTATGACATGTATTTACAACCCTTCACATCGCCTTAATGCATTACTAGACTTCTTAACTCATTCAAAGTATCTGAACACTTCTTAACTGATTCCTATTTTCACCGAAGTAACAGACATAATAAGGACATCATTTGCAAGTAAATCATATAACACGGCATAACCCCAAATTAAATTGAAATAAAACCTTATTTTTAAAATATCCTGTGTGTGTTAAATTAAATGAGCTCCAAGAGCAACATCACTTCAAGCCAACAAAATGTTGTGTGTATAATATATACGAATATACAAACTAAAAGATACTACATAGAAACACCTACTGCATCGAACTAGGAGCAGTAATAAATTTGCATCTTTATCTTTCTATGCTTCCATATCTCCTCTTGTCCAACTCCTGTCCTGTTTTTCGAAACCTACGATAATTCGGATCCATATTATGGTGACGCCCTATTTCAGTTTTGATTTGGTTTTGGTTTGATTTTTGCAACTTTAAGAGAAGTCTTCGAAGCATTATTGAAGTGTTTTGTTATTAGCGCGTGCCTATAAAACAATTTAACGTTGTACATTTTTATAAACCCTGAGTCAGATCCTAGAAAAAACTTAGTTTTGTAAAAAGTTACCAGAATAGCTAGCACAGGCTGCTTCAAAATGTGTTTTACCGGTAAAGCAATAAGGTAGTTCTACTAAGTCTACCGTGTTCATAGTTTTGAAAAGTCGCAATATTACGTCATAGTTCGAATTCTACTAATTAAAAACAAACGTTATAATGAGTACCAAACATCAACTATATAACTGAAATACTTTGGTGTGGGGGCTGGTGCGTTGCAGTTTTCAAAAGTTACTTTTCTGATCGGTGTCAAAGAATATTCTTCAATAACAGCTATTCTAATTATGTAAATATTCCCAAAGGTGTAGCACAGGGTAGTATTTTAGGTCCGATGCTGTTTTCCGTTTATACCTCCGACTTCTGTAAATTTATTAAGCATTGTTCCTCCCATCAGTACGCAGACGACACTCAAGTATATCTCGCTTTTAATTACTCTCAAATTAATATAGCTGTTAATAATATAAGCAATGACCTACGTGCTCTCAGTGATATTTCTAGTAAGTACGGTCTGTTACTTAACGAAAATAAGGCCAACTCATAATTTTTGGTAAAGGTAAAGGAAAAATAATTAGTCTAGACGCTGCCAAAATTTACTAATGACCTTCTCTTACGGCCGGTTGCCGAATGCAAAAATCTGGGTCTGCATTTGGATAATAATCTGCGTTTTGAAGGTCACGTAGCTTCATTGATCCAGAAATCGTTTTACAAGCTTCGGATTCTCTACTGTAATAAAGATATTCTGGACACAGCAATTAAGTTAAAACTTACCGATTCCTTAATTCTCGCCACAATTTCATACTGTATGGTAGTTTACTGGCCTGCCTTCAAAAGGACAAGGTTAGTCTTCAGCGTCTTCAGAATGCCTGTCTCAGATTCTCATACAATATTCGTAAATTTGATCATATATCTACTAGCCTAGAGGATTCTCGCTGGCTAACATTAGACGAACGTTTTAAATAGCAGCTTTTAGTCTTAATTAAAAAAGTAATATCTCTCCAAAGTCCGACGTATCTTTTTGACAAACTTACTCGTGGATCAGATATTCATTCGGTTAATACTCGCCATAGGGGCTGTTTATCGTTCCCAAACATACTTCAGCACAGTTTCAGCGCAGTTTTACGTACAATGCTATCAAGGCTTACAACAAACTCCCTCTTCAACTGAGATCAATCACCTCGCTAACTTCATTCAAACAAAAACTTAAGCAATACATTTATCATAATAAAGACCGATCATAAAACTAGTAACCATCAAATTGTATATACGTATTCTTTTTTTAAATTCACTCTAACAGTCTACCATTTTGAATGAATGTCTATATAATTTATTTGCTATATTTTATTTTATAAATTGTGTCATATACCCGTTTTAGGGGGCTGCATGAGAGCAACTGTGTTGGATGCCGCCCCCACAGTTATATATAATAAAGGCTCTTTATTATTATTATTATTATTATTATTATTATATAACTATAAAACTACGTGCCAATTGTGTTTTATTTTCGCTTAACTAAGAGTACACCCGGGTTGCTGACAACAGCAAGTGGTTATAACTGTCTGTCGAGGCATAGATGTTGTTCACGGGGAGATCGGTAAATGTATTGTCGAATGTGTAGGTATTTGTCAACATGGCGTCGACGTATTATTTGCTCGACGATGCAATGCACGTGGAAGAACAGATAGTGCAAAAATATGAGTAAAATCAGTTCGCCGCCATAAATTCTGCGTTGTATATAACTACGTTTTCAAGGCAAGCCCACACCGCTGTTAAAAAAAGCCACCGGGCTGCCGTGATTATTCAGCGATACTACAGAGGCCACGCCGTGCGACAGCGTCTAGAAAAACAACGCATCGCCGCTATAGTGTTACAGAAACACACGAGAGGATGGCTAGTGCGCTATCACTTGCCTGACATCATGCAACAACGCTATGACGAACTGTGCCTGAACTATTACGACAGAATGGCGACCAAGATTCAAGCCCTCTGGAGAGGGGTATTGGTACGACACCATGATCATCCTAGTGATTCCATTTTTTCTATGAACGTTCGACGTTTTTTGCAGGCAAGAAAAAGAGTTTGCTTGAAATTGTTACTAGAAAAGAAGAGGTTGACCGAAGAACGTCTAAAACGGTTCACTGTACCTCCGAAATCGTCTGACAGTTCAGCATCACACTTCAATCGATTTTACATAGAAAAAATTCTTACCCTGTTGTTCGACAGGCACCACCTGCTCAGCACTAGGGTTGCCAAGGGTATTTTCGCGCAGAAAAGCAAAAGGTACGCCCAGGGAATATTTTATGTCGAACCAAGGATATAATTTCAGCGAAATTTCGGAAATCGAAAAGTTATTGACCTCGATGCCGTGGAAAAAGTACAAGAAACAATATACGGAGATTGCCAACGAATATTTCAAGCGCGTTAAATGTATACCATATCAATATTCCGACAGCAGATTAAGGCACCAAGAAGATCTCTTGAGGTTACGGGCCCCGAGGGAAAACAAGAAGCAGATTTTGGATGTTGAAATTGAAGACGACTTTCTCGCAAAACCGTGAGAGCATTTATTGCAATACAAGTGAGCAAAGTATGTATATCACTCACGCGTCCCGCAATTGAGAAACGAGTAACAGGGAGACCTTGGTCACGTGTTCTGAACACGATTTTTTTCTCCAATACTATAACAAAAAAATTCTTTCTTGTTAAATCCTGTACAATATTGCCCATTTAACACCATTACTCTTTCATAAAAATGAAAAAACAAGGTGCTCCAAAATCAAACTTAAAATCCCACTCAAGATAACAGAACACGAGTGACGGAGGATTGGGCCATAGAACAAATGAATAAAATTTAAAATCTGATCCTCTATACTTTATACGCATTGTTGTACCTGGTGACCGTTTTACCACCTTATCTGAGAACCTGTAAAAAATATTAAAAAACAAACTCAAAATTTTACTGGCATCAGTGAATCCAAATAACACCCTGAGGTCGCATCAATATTCTGTTCGCTCCAAATAGGGAGCGATTTCAGTTCATGTTATTAGGAATGTTTTGTCCTCCTCGGCTTGTGGCAGACATTAATTGGGAACTATTTGTCGTGTTAGCTAACCAAAACTAACCAAATTAATATGACCAATAATAAAACCATTTTTTGTGGTTGGAATTGCTAACGATTAATTGGGATTACTATATAGTGTTGGTAGAAAAAATATAAGACCGCTAAATCAGCTTTCTTGTTCATATTTGGATACATCAAACCATAGTGCCGAAATCTTGTTAACACTAATATTGAAAAAAAAAAAATTTGTGTTTGAATCTATGATATTAGTGTTAGTAGACAAAATACTAAGTTCACCGAAACAGCTTTTTTGATATTTGATCTTATTAATTATCCAATAGACAACAAACATTTTTTACGAATGTTTTGGACCAATTTTTCCGTAATACCAGGCAATAACCCTTATAACCAGTATTTTTGCCATTAATCTATCGACTATGAGAATCATTTATTCAATTATGTATTGTCATTTAAATAACATCCTATATAAAAATTGCTTGCATATTAAAGATCAATGTGTTTTAAATTCTTGGGAAGATCGATTGATATTTTTAAAATAAATAGCGATCAAAACTAACATTAAGAATTTTTATGAAGAAATAACTAAAAGCCTTTTTTTTCAATTAGGAACACCTAATTTTTGTAATTTTATCTAATTAAGCATTGAAAAAAGGGCGATAAGGTTGAATATTTAAAGAAGTTGTACATTTCATATTAGCAATAAAACGTTTTTCCAATATAATAATGTTATACGGCTTTCATGTTTGCTGCTGGCGAAACATGACAAAACACATTCGATCAATTTTTTATTGTTAATGGCATTTTTCTAGAAGGAATAAATAATGGAGAAGAAACTAACAGATAGTAAATTAAATTCAAACGATGGTTTATTATACGTATTGTATTTTACTGTGCTTACTTTGCTCATTATTAATAATTAATTTAATACATTTTCTAATGTTCCCTCCCGAATTTTAGTTTTGTTCTGACCAAAAGATCAGTGAAAAAGTCGTACGAGAGCCAAATGTCGCGCCAAGGGAAGTACTTTGTGCGGGATACTAAGATATTGAGAACGGAAGACAGGTCGAAGAACGTATCGAAAACTGATTTTCGATTGCAGTTTAAAAAAATTGCGGAGAAATGTGACGTGCCTCCGTACTATGTCGATTTTTGGTGCGAATCCTGCAATTTTCACGTTTGAAGTTTAAAATAAATTATACAAACGTTATACGAATTGTATTTGTCTTAGTACCTAGGATAGCGTTTAATTTTTACACTAGTTACAATAAATACAATAGTTTTTACATACACAAATATACAAAAGTCCAGCTAGAGGCACTCCTTGATATCGTCCTCCGAGGTTATTTTTCTGTTAGGTATCCAATGGTTAAACAGCATATCACACCTGATAATCTCCATAGCACGCAGATACCGTGCAGCTAGGGTCGAACAGTTTGGAGGCAGCCTGAAAGGCGGACATGTCTATACCGCCCTGATGGTGCCCGCCCACGAGGTTGTTCTGACCCAGCGAAAGGTTGCCAAGAAGTAATTCCCTGGTACAATTTGAGAGTAAAATTAATTACCACTTAAAAAGTAATATAACATGATTGCCATGGACGTGCACAAAACATAAAATGTTCGGATAAATGTGGTTAGTTTTTTTTTCTTCAACAGTCACGTGGTTTAGCCAAAACTAAACATTCAGCGACATTTTATGACGTTTCATATGCAGCCAACCGCGGCAACCAACCATAAAACGTAATCGAAAAATAAACCATTTGCATACTACTACGACTGCGTAACTAAAAGGTTGACCTGTAAACGGAGCACGTCTATATCGTTTTAACGACTTTTACCATGTACCGAGTGTCCCACTAAAAATGGGCCACGTATATATTAGGCATATGACCTTTTTCTTAAAGCGCCGCTAGAACTCCTGTAGTAAATAAGACAATGAGATTTTTTATAAATTTTGTCCAAGGAAAATGTATTAGACATAATGAAGTAATAAATTTCATTCATTCGATTTCAATTCATGGTGTTGCCCTAACTGCCAAAATAAAGTGGGGACAAACGTTAAATGGGTTTTTATTTAAATGTTAATAACTCCTTATTACTCTGGAATCAAACAAGTTAGGTCTCGTTTAAAAGGGTGGTAATCATGGTATATTCTATGTTATAAATAATATGCGTATAGCACACGTTAGGAGGCGCTGTCTTCCAGTAAAGGGAAATAATAAAAGCTTAAAAGTTTTACGAAAAAGGCAACTTGATTCGGTTTGACAAACTTGACTAATGATTTGTCCGCGGGCATGTTGGTTAGTTTATATATACAAAGATACAAATAATACAAAGACTCAAAAAAAAATTGTTCTATACGCATATGCAGGGCTCTATATCTCTAATATATATATATATATATATATATATATATATATATATATATATATATATATATATATATATATATATATATATATATATATATATATATATATATATAATTATTTCCAATAAAAATTGTAATTCATGTGAGTGCCATATATATTTTAATAGATGTACCTACATCTAATAAGCTTGATTTGATTTTAAAGCTTTTGTAATATATTTTAGTTTTGCCGCAAGATTTTTTTTCAAAAAAATGTTTATTCAGCTTACTTGTGCGCCCCATCTATTTATAAATGTGTTTGTGAAAAACTGTCTTCAAAACTATATCAGAACAGAAGCCAGCCATCCACCCATCGATATTGTCTTCACCATTACAACAGTATCGAATATAAATATATAAAAAATTTTTATATATAATGCAAAATGCGAATGCGAAAATTCGTCACGGTCCAGCGAAAAGCAGGACGGTTGGCAGCGTTACTGTTTATACAATAAAATTATAAAATAATAAACATCTGTGGCTTACGATCTCGACTGTGGGGTTCGGTCCCTCTGCCGTCGATTTTTGAACCAGTTGGATACCTGGGTTAAGGTCAGCCCAGTTCTTTTTGCCAGCGCTCTCTTCTCGTCAGGAGTGGGATACCTGTTGCGAGAGTAGCACTCCTTCAGAGCATTGCGACTTCGCTCTTTGAAACAGTAGACGGTCTCCTCTCCGTCCCAGATCGTTTTCGGTAGGGGATACTTTTTGCGCAGCCTGTATTTGTCCACTGCCCCTGCAATTAGGTTTGGTGATGCTGCAAATCATCATAATGTCATTTCATACCTAGTGGTCTTCCGCGTACTTTTTCCGCCTCTTTGTAGTGCGATTTGAACCACAAAGACTGTAGTTCGGCATGCCAGCGGGGATGGAAGGGATGCGATTCCAGAATCGAATAGAGCTCGTGGAAGAAGCCCCTGTGAAAGGCCACTGTGGCTCTAGCCCTCAAGATGCTTTCGTTGCCTCTCAGTGATTCGCATTGAGGCAGGGACCACAAAAAAGTGGACAAACGTTCTACATCGCCACGCTGCTGAAGAGCTTCGCACATACATTGGACCTTAAACATTATATAGGGAATGGTATATAGACGTTGATAGAAATTGAGGCATCTTTGACATTATTTATATTACTTATTGAATTTTCCTCTCTGAGGTTATTTTTAATGTTTTTGTACAATATTTCCTATTGTTAGCGTTACTTTGTTTTTGTTTAATTTTAATTTAATTTAATAAAGATAATTAATATTGCTATATTGAATTCACAAAAACTAATGTAACACGCTGTATTCTGTCAACTATTCTTGAAGACTATTGGCATTGAAACGAATTTTGACGACGACTATAAAAGAGATAAATGTGTTGATAGATTAGATATGCAACATTGGTACAGGTGCACCAGCATAAGTATGCAGCTTCATGGAAAATGTAATTAATCCTATGGACATGACAAAGTTGACGTCATAATCTTCATTTACTTGGAAATGATAAATGAAATTTACAAACAAAACGGTTTGCAAATTACGGCGAATTTACTCTTAGAGCCAGCTCGAGGATGATTTTCGACATTTTCAAAGCAACAAGCAAATTTACAAAAGACGAAAATAAATATAATTAGAATCCTTGCCAAAAAAATATAGATATTTTTATTAAGCTATCTGTTATACTCGAGAATATATTTTAAAAATCGAATTTTCTAAAAACCATAAAGTGCAATACCACTTAAGTGGGAGGAGAGTTTTTGAGGAAGGACAGAACCTAAGAAAGAAGAACAAATTCGTCGCATTTCCGCAGAATGGCGAAAATAATGATTTTCTCGCCATTTGCTTTTTTTAAATAAACATTTTGTTGAATTTTGCCTATAATTTAGTTATATTTTTATACTTTATGACATTCAAATTCTTTATTAAGGGTTAAGGGTTGCAAGTTGTGGCAAGTTCAAAAACCAGTGTACTGGAACAATTAGGTACTCTACATAATAAGATGAATAATAAGTATTATAAAATATTACCCAAGTGGAAAACATTTCCAAATTTCAACAACAACCTAAAGACATTATCTGAGATTTCTAGATACCATAGACAGCTCGAGTTGTAATAAAACATTCGTTTAGTACACAAGTCAGAAAACACCAAATCTGACCAAAAACCATAATTTCGCGTATTCTGCGAAAACGGAAAATTACCATTCGCTAAGTAATTGAAAAGTGCATTTCCTGGTAATTTAAAAAATGACGTTACATTCAAATTGATCAAGTTATAGCCTAAGGTTCTTGTTAGAAGAATACGGTTTAAGCAAATTTAAGTATTTTACAATAAGGTTTAGGTATCATAAATCTTATTGAAGCATACACTAATTTGGACCGTGGAAGCCAAAGATGATATAATATATTAATATAGGAGGTCTCATTTAATATTATACTTAACACTTTTGGGACAATCTGTATAACACGAAAGTAGTTTTAAAAAGTAACCGTGGACTACTGCACATCTTGTATACAATTTTTTCACTAAGTGGTACCTGATCGGCGGAAAAACTGATAGACTTCTTCCCGAAAGCGTCCACTTGCAGTACGATACTGTCCCCACTTTTCTTGCCGTTCCCGACACACAGTCCCAATTGGTTTTTCCGGATCGCGGTGTCGTCCGCGTTTTTTCTCAAACTTTCGTACGCCGCCACCCTTTTTTCCACTTTCCCGGAATAATCGGCCCTCCGATCCCCTTTTTTGACACTATCCCCCGCGAAATAACTGTCCAGTTTGCCGTTGGTGGCGAAAAACAAATTGTCCGTATAGTAATTGAGGTTAGCGTGGGAAAACGCGTCCGTTTGGGAATCGTTCGAGGACCCGTCGATTTCCATTTCAAAAACGACCCGCCAAATCCGAAAAATTAAAGTTCGACATACTTAACGATACGGGTTTGATGTTTGTTGTGTGGGACTTGTTGAGGTAGATCCGTCGCGGTCTTATTGAATAAAGGCGGAGCTTGCACACCGACGGCCAATACGCGAAGAAGAGACCCTATATCGTCATGACTACTAACCCGAGGAAGGGCCAATCGACGGTGAGTTTGGAGGGTAGAAACGTGATCCCTTAAATCGGTCGTTTTTTTTGGTCGTAGAGGTTTCGGGTGTTTATTCGGAACGTTAAGGATCCTTATTAAAATTTAAAAGATGTCGCCAAGGTTTCTGGGAATATCGAATGAATTTACGCAAAAAAAAATCCACACGCTATTTGCCCTCATTAAAACTTCTCCTTCTTTAAGAGAAATTGTTTGAAATAATTTCGGGGCCAACAAATTTTGTACAAATTCAGTCCATTTTTGGTGCCAATATGAGCAATCTTTTAATTTTTTCCGGAGGATGATTTTATTCCAGTTGACCACGGCAGCTTGCCTCGCGCTTTTGACATGTTTATCCTGTAATGTTTTACCAACAGCACATCCTTAATTTACCCAATTTTCGTTTAAATAATAGATATTCCTGTTTTCCCTTCGAAACTGTCTTAACTTAATATACATAAATGATATTTGCCAGTACATGATGCCTGATACTGAGATTGTGTTGTTTGCTGACGACACAACACTTATTAATTCAAACAGGAACATCACTACCCTGAGTAATATTGAAACATATAGTTTATCTAAGGCCGAAGCATGGTTTTCAGAAAATATTCTACAACTTAATGAAGCTAAAACGAACGATTTATTAGTGTCTAGTAGCAGTAGGTTGACATGTGGCAGGGGATGCAAGATTTTGGGCGTGACCTTGGATGACACTAAATTGGTCAGAACACATTGGCGAGCTAAGTAAAAATCTTTCAAATATTTATTTGCTTTTGCGTCAACTTCGCAGAATGGTGAGTTTTGATGTATTGAAGTCAACTTACTTTGGTTTATTTCACTCGCGTGTAAACTATGCCACCATACTGTGGGGTATCTCCTCTTATGCCATTAAAATATTCAGGATGCAAAAAAAGGCACTACGGATAATTACAAATTCAAATTTTAACGGACACTGTAAACCATTGTTTATTAAACATAAAATAATGACGGTTCCATGCATATTTATATTTCAAAGTGTTTTTGAGATACATTCCAAGACCGATAGTTTGCCGAGTGGTTCTGATTCTCATACGTATGACACCCGGAGTGCAAATAATCTCGTGCTTCCGAGATACATTTTGCATAAATCAAAACAAAACTCTCCTTATATAAAGCTTTATAACGCATTGCCAAAATATTTTAAACTTTTAAACGAAAAACATTTTAAATATAAAATTAAAAGTAAGGACTATTATAGCGTTGGTGATTTTTTTGAAGAAAACATCGGTAATGACGTGTTGCGGGGCGTCGTGCAATGATTATATTTTAATGATTGTTCTGTGCCATACGTATACATATAAATTTATTTTTTTATTTGTTGTCCTGTTATTGTGAAGTTATAAACATTGTATACCTAGATTAGTATATTATGACGTTATATACAATTTTATGTTAGCATATACTTACATATATTCAATTTAATTTTTTTTTCTTTGTATGACTTGCTACAAACAATGATATTTTAAAGTAGTCAATAAACCATCTATCCAGCTATCTATCTATCTATCTAACTGCTCACAAGTATCGTCGTCCCCAGCATATAATTTCGTCTTTCTCTATTAAAAGTGATATTTTGTTTTGAATTGGGACATCAACAAACAAGTTTTTTATAAGCACGGCCAAAGGTTCTTGCAAACAAATCATGAACTTAATCGAGAATTCACTATTTTGAAAAAAGTACACATTAGAAAATTTTATGCACATCGTCACGCTGATTGGTTCGCAAACACTTTTATTTCTTGCATTTATGCTGTCCTAATTACCTAAGGTTTAATTAAGTCTTAATATTGTTAAAAAAAAAATTATTTCTAAAACAGATTTAAACTAACCAAAATGTGAATTTTATTTGTTTACTATTTTTTGTTATATTTATAGAGTATGTCCGATACTCTTATTTGATAGTTTTGTTATTTTTGAATAAACTATTAGATTTTATGATGTAATGTGCCATAAGTTTCATTACGTCAAGTGAGTTGTAAAATGTGCAGTTATAATAATAATATAAGATTTTTCTCCTTGTTACTAATTGATTAATATCTATAGGTTGTAAACAAAACATAACAACAATACTCATAAACGGCATTGGTTTGTTTTCTTTAGTTTATTTGCTGTCATTTTAATAACACCCTGTATAGTTATTTCTAAATTATGTGTGTATGTTATCATTCTAAATATTTCCCTTAAAACGTTTGAGCAGCAATGTACTTTTTCTTTTTTATAACTTGTTTTACTCATATCTTCTACTACTACCTTTGGATTCCCCTATTAATAGTTATAATAATTAAGAATTATGGCTTTCCGCTTAGAAATTATTTGTTTGGAACTTTCAGACCGCTATTTTTAGCTCGGTCTTAACGGAATCTAAAGAAAATGTTTTCACCGAGAAGCTGATGAGTTCGTAAATAAGCCATTTTTCTAAAATGAATCCTTATATTATTAGAATAAACAATTGTATTTTTATTTATATAATATGTATAAGTGACAAAGCAGCGCAATTCGATGATAAACATCATTTTAGTCACGAGCGAAAATAGCCGAAACTAAACTAGTTCCACGACCATTCGTTTATGGCTACATTTTTGCAAAACGAGACCATTAGACCTAATGACCATCAGACAGCGCTTAATGAAGTCCACGTCTTTGAACACGCTTGATCAGTGCATGGGTGTAATTCGGTATTTTAGGGTAGGGTGTGAAAAAATTATCTAAGCTTAAACTTTTTTTTAGAAAACAAAATGATAGCAACATAAGGCTTGATAAAAACAAAAGGGTCTTGCAGACTAAACAGTGTTAATGGACTGTTTCACAGTAATTAAATCATTTTAGATTGCGAAGAAAAAATAACTGAAAATAAGATTCAGATCTACAGAGGGGTTCAAAAGACTCCTATACAATATTTCAATCCTTTTGGATTTCAATTTTGCCAGTTGGGATGAAGATGCTTTTCGTACTGAGAGTTTGGAAATTTTATGCATATCTATTAATTTTTGTGTGCCAATTGTCCGTGTGGTCTTCAAATATTTTACATAACAACTTTAGTTGTGTAACAATTATGGAAAGTACAATATTAAGTATATTCAATTTTTGTTATACCTGACACTAACGTAACTTTTTATTACGAGATCTTAAAAATAGTAACTTTTCATTCCCATTGAAAAAAAATCTCTTGAGTTAGTAAATTCAGTATTAAATTAAAGTTAAATTTTTTATTAAAGTTCGCCGAACAATATACCGTTTTTGCAACCTTTTATGGTTTTGACTTCGAGATGAATTTAAGATCCGCCTGTTGTAAAGCCTTGAAGAGACCATTCTTTTCATCACGTGTACCACAAGCCAGGGCTGTATTTATTTCAAGACCTTTTGAGGTAGCTCGATTTCAAGTTGAACTTGCCCCTTAGATAGGTTGATCTCCTATGTTAAAAATACATTAGAAAGCTTTCCAATTTAAGGGTTTCACATAATGACTCTAAAATATTTTCCTAGGGGACCAGTCCAGAGACGATAGTGATTATTTCGATATAGAATAACTTTTTTTATAAATATTCATACATTGTCTTATAGCTAAATTTACTCCTTCATTAATATTTATAATAAACTAATGATAATCGAGGAATCTCACCCATGAAACTATACACAAATACGTCAGCTACCAGCATTTGTATGTATGCACGAAGGACCGAAGTACGCTTCATTGTGGAATTGCGAATTTATTTATTGAGGCTTAAAAAGAAAAACCCAAGCGAGGTCGGCCTGCGGTTAGACCTTCATAAACATTTACCAAAGTTAAATATCGGATTATGTCGTAAAAACGGTATATCGTTGGTGAACTATAGCACTTACAAGACAGCCCCTATCATGTGGCATGTTTCACCCCCTCACGGACTAAAAATCGGTTAATGTTGTGCTTTATCGCTAATAAACGGATAGAATCCCGTTACATCTGGTGTCCTTTAATTAATTCCGCGGGGACCAGCAATCATTTCAATTATCCAGACACCCTTAGCTCGAGCGGACGCCCCAATGACGAAGGGTTTCCGAATCGACGGTAGTCATAACGACCTACAGGTGCAGCGTCAACTCTTTAGCATTTGGACGTTAGTCATCCAAAAGCACAGGACTGGTGCAACAAAAAATTATAAAGCATTAAACACAAAATGGAAACTGCCGGCCAAAAGAAAAAAAAACGAACAGAAGCTCAATAGAAACAAAACCCGACAATACAAAATTAAAATGCACTTATCGCCACTATCTTCATATATTTATCTAATTTTTTCGCTTAAAATTTAATGGAATTCGGCCACATTTTAACAAAATAATGCCGGAAAATGCTGGAAACAATCGGAAAACTGTTGAATTGACGAACTGTCAGCCGTCGTCTTGATTGTAGAATTTAAAAAATATATATATTATCAATATTTCTTTTTTTTTGAACGGCGAAAAGAAATTTAACAAACTTTAATATTAACAACTTTTTTTATAATTTAGCCCTTCATTTCCAACAATACACTCAAATATCAATAAAACGGGTTAGCACATTATTATGCTATATTTCTTAACGGGAGAGGGTTATTAATCAATATTCAACATATAGGCGCAGTATTGTACCTATGGTGATTGTCACGGGTCCCGAGAGTGGCAAGTGAACGACCGAGTAATTAAATTAACTAAGCCTTAGTGGTTAAGATTATAATTATAGTGTAATTTCCGATAATGTTAGGCAAAATTCGTGCTTGAAAATGGCTAGTGTTCCTCAATTTG